CTTCCCTCCATCCCCCCTTCTCCCCTCCTCCCCCTCCTCCCTTCTCCCCTTACCCCCTTTTCCCCCTTCCCCCTTCCCAACTTACCCCTTCCTCCCCTTACCCCCTTCCTCCTTTCCCCCCCTTCTCCCTTCTCCCCTTCCTCCCTTCCCCCCTTCCCCTCTCCCCTTCCTCCCTTCCCCCCATCCCCTTCCCCCCATTTCCCCCTTCTCCCCTTTCCCCCTTCACCCCTTACCCCTTCTCCCCTTCCCCCATCCCCCTTCCTCCCTTTCCCCTTCCCCCCTTCCCCCCCTTCCCCCCTTACCCCCTCCCCCCCTTCCGCATGGTATCCGAAGAGCGCCCCCCCCCTTCCTCCCTTACCCCCTTCCTCCCTTTCCCCCTTCCCCCTTTCCCCCTTTCCCCCTTTCCCCCTTTCCCCTTTCCCCCCTCTCCCTTCTTCCTTCCTTCCCCCCTTCCGCATGATATCCGAAGAGCGGCGTCCGGGTCGTGCGCAGGTGGTCGGCCTTCCAGCGCCTCCGATCGTCCGAATGCGTGTCGGGACGGACTCGGCGTCGTCTTCCGGTGTTCGGGCGAGAAAATGGCCGAGGAAACGTACTTAATTAAGCTTGTTTTCCTTTCGGGTTTTGCATATAAGGTGCGTTCAGGGTTTCGTGTTTTTTTTCTTTTCTGTTTTTTGTGTAAGGAATTGGGGATTATTTTTAAGAAATTAGTCTGCATTCTATCAGGCACTTCCTTTTCCCCTCCCTTCTTTCTCTCTCTCTTCTCCCTCCCTCCCTCCCCCTCTCCCTCTCTCCCTCTCTATCTATCTATCTATCTATCTATCTATCTCGCCCTTTCTCTTTCCTCTCGTTCTTTCTTTTAGTCCTTCGAAGAATTTGTTTTTTTTTACTATTGGTGTCTCGCTATGTATGATGATCCAAGATTCAGGGTCACTCTAGCCCCCCCCCCCCCCCCTCCCCCCCCCCCCCCCCCCCCCCCGAGTTTCTATGGCGTTTCCACGACCCTCTCGAAACGTCGATTTTTTAATTCCCTTTTATTTAACACCTGGTTTGTGTGATTGATGGATTTTCCTCGTGTTTCGTGCTGTGGATTGAGGTTCTTTTGTTCGTTTTTGTATATGTGTTTTTGTGTTTTTTGTGTGTGTGTGTGTGGTTTTATACATTGATTTGGCGTTCTCTTGTTCATATTTATATATATGTATTTGTGTTTTTTTTTTTTTGTGATTTTGTACATTGATTTTCTGTATGACTCGGCAGTGCGGATATTTTTTTTTTTTTTCTTTTCTTTTCTTTCTTTCTTTTTTTGCGGTATTTTTGCCGGGAGAAGTTGCGTGTCAATGTCTAATATTCAGGCCTTTTCGCGTTTCAACTTTAAATGCTGTTTTAGAGAGCCCCTCCCCCCTCTCCCCTCCCCTCCCCCCCCCTCCCCCTCCCCTCCCCTCCCCAAGTTAGGAGAGTCGCTACTAGTCGGCCTGAAGTTTGTCCGTCGTAATTTCACGAAGACTGAAATGCGAGAGAATGAGAGTGAAAATGCTCAGTTTTTCTCGACGTGTGTGTGAAAGTCTAGGAGGAGGAGGAGGAGGAGGAGGAGAAGGAAGAAGAAGAAGAAGAAGAAGAAGAAGGTGGAGGAGAAGGAAGAAGAAAAAGAAGAAGGTGGAGGAGAAGGAAGAAGAAGAAGAAGGTGGAGGAGAAGGAAGAAGAAGGAGGAGGAGGAGGAGAAATGGAAGTTCAGTCAACGTGTTAAGTTTGTTTCTCGAGACTGAATCGCGACCGAACCTTTGAAATTCCTCCGAATGGGACGCGTTTTGTTTCTCGAGGAGGAGGAGATAATCCAACAAAGGGAGAGAAACCAAGAAAACATAAAGAATAAGCCTATATTCGTGTGTTTTTTTTCGGTCTTCCTACGGTGTGTTATTTAGTGCGCGGTTCTCGAGGCGCTTCCAGCCCGCGGGACACGCTCGGAGGGCCGTTGTACGCCGACCGTGCGTCCGAAGCGGCAGGCACAAAGCGGATCAGGGGCGCGAAGAGTGCGTGCAGCTGTGCTTGTGCTTGTGCTTGCTCTTGGGGCTCTTGATGGCGTGGTGTCTGACTGCAGGTAAGACTCGCTTATTGATTGCGGGCGTCTCCTGCTGCCGCTGCTGCTTGTGTTGATTCACCTGCTGTTCGTGGCGCCTGGGATCGAGCCAGTAGTGTCTGCCAGCCAGCCCGCGTGTCTGCATGTCTTGTTGCCTAGCTTGTAGTCCTGTGCCGTGTCGCCTGGTGGTCGTCGTAGTCTCTCATGGCTAGTATTCACCTTTTTTTATTCTGAAGCGCCAGGAGTGTAGTAGTAGTAGTAGTAGTAGTAGGTAGTTTTTTAGTTTTTGTAGTAGTTTTGGAAAGAGGCTTTGCTTGGCTTTGAACTGTCTGAAGGCGGAGGCAAGACTTGGGTGTTTTTTGAGCTTCGGTTCCTCCTTCGTGCCTCTCATGTTTTCTTCCTCTTTCGCGCCTGTCGAAGCGGGGCCCGCCTTGTAGATTCCGTCTTGGGCCGAACGGTGCCGGGTAGGAAGTAGACGCGTTCTCGGCCGGGAGGAAACGAGGCGAGCCGCCGGTAAGGTCAGGAGGCCAGTTGTTTGTGTAGAAGATAGATTGAAGCAAGGAAAAAAAACGCGGTCGGCAGCAGGAACAAGACGGGCGCGAGGAAAGGGAAACCGCCTTGAGAGAGTCGTCTCCAGCCTTTTAATCGCCCGGGTGATTTGTGGAAGGTGCGAGACGCCTGACGCAGCCATGACCAGTGCGACCTGGTGACGATGACGCCCGCCAAGGCTGCCGACTCTCTCCCACTCCCCTCCCTCTGCCGTGCCTTTTTCTCGGGGGGAGGGAGGGGAGGGTGGCAGCGGCACCTGTCGCAACAGCGCGCACCTATTCACCTTCGCCCGCCTGCTCAGCCGCCGTCTCCATTGCGTGGAATGGGCCGGCGATTCCCCGCGACGGACACGGAACTGCCGGCGATTCGTCCGGAGGCGCTCGTTGGGCGTCCGCCGTCTGGAGCAGCTGATTCAGTTCCGCGACGGACACGGAAACTGCCGAAGTCGCGAGCCGTGGCCGTGTAAACGCGCGCCGCAGTCAAGATTAAAGATTTAAAGATTTAGTTTTAATTCCATTTGTTACAATGGATATTCTTTGCTGTGACATACTGTCTGTTTTATTTAGTCGTCGGGATCGCGATTAACACGGCGCGAATGCACAATGAGGCTGGCGGCGGGGGAATCAGATCTACTCCATCTTGGGGCTTCTTGATATGGGTTCTCGATGAGAGCTTCGACGCCCGCGCTCTGGCCGCCTCCCCTCTCGCCTAGGAGACCCACGCGCCGGGTCGCCTCCGCTTTCGTCGGCATCTACATATCATCTACATTGGGCGCCCAACCCCCTCTCGCCACCCGCCAGCGCCCACCAACCGTTCGATTTTATCAGAAGACCGCTCGTGTGGGGGTCACTCTCCACCTTCATCCACAACGCACCGAACTACAGCACCATCTGTGGGCGGATGGGCTACACGCGATGCCAGCTGGTTATATACATTCACCACCTGCAGGCCCGCGGAGGAACCCGTCCGGGGCATCCACTTCGCCCGGTGCTTCCTGCCCCACCGGACGCCGCTCGACCCCCCTCCCCCCCTCAGCCTCATGGCCCCCTCCGCTTACTCAGAGCCGCGTTTCCTCCTGGCCCGCCGTGCCATGAATGGTGTCATGAATAAATGCATAAAGGCCCGAGCCGCAACTGGAAGAGCAGCTCCGGCGATGACGTAAGACGGAGGGGACGGGCGGACGGGAGGGGGCGGAGAACTTTTGTATTTATTTAACTTACGTGACTAGTCTTGGGCGTCGAAAGGTCTTCGCCTTGCACAGGCTCTTGTCTTATTTGCGTCGGGTAAATCTTGACAGTTTTACGCGTCGTTGTCGGTGGCGAGACATAGCGCATGACATGGCTCGCCCCCGAAGCGGACCCTCGGCGAGCCGGAACCGAGACCCATGGCGTGACGGGGACCAGGGCAGGGGCCGCGCTGGAGGGGCGGCGATGGGCTTATGCTGATCCGCGGGATAGCTGGGTATGGAGTGGGTACATGCACGCTGTGGACCCCCCACCCCCCCACCCCACCCCGTCTCCCAAGGTAGAATTATGTTCTGACGCATTTTTATCCACAAGTGATTCGTGCGGTGTTCAGTGCGACAGTGAGTGCGATTGCCCTCAGTGCGGCAGGGTCCGAGTGGATTCCTTGCCACTGCTGACCTGCCGCGCCTGCTCATTCTCCCTTTCACCCGCCTCTTTCACCCTTCCTGCGGCCCATTCCGTTTCAGCATTTCCTGCGAGGCCTCCTCCTCCTCCTCCTCCTCTCTCGCGGTTGTGGCGCAATGGCTGCTGTTGCTGCTGCTGCTGCGGCGCGCCCCTTGGTCCTTCTCTTCCCGTCGCCCCCACGAGCGCAGCGCATCCACCCCCACCCCCCTGAGACCTGCACGCGCTCTCCTTTCGCATTGTCCGGCCTGCCAATCCTCATCGATTTGCCATTTGTATCCGTCGAACTTGTGAGTCATCTCGGCTTCTCGCCCTCGCCGCCGCCGCCATGCCTTGCCTTGTTGCTGACTTCACCGCATTGATTGCCGCTCCACCTGCCGTGCCCGCGATCGCCAGCCCCCTCCCCACCCCACCCCGCCCTCCGCCCCCGCCCGCCCCTGCCCTTTTTCGTCGGCTCATGGGTCGGGCGGTCGAAGCGAGGTTCCCGAATGTTATCGTTTATCACGTCTCTCCTTGTTGGGGCTCTGGTATTTCTCATTTTCGCCTGGCTCCATCTGCGACGGCCCTCCCCTGCTTGTAGCCCGTCTGCTCGTATCCTCTTTAACATGCAGGATAGATATTTAGGATCTCAGCCTTACCATTTCTTCCTAATATACCCTTTATTTAATGGACAAACCAGAAAAGAAAGGTATAAAGAGCGGCCCCTTTATCGAGAGGGGGTAGCTCTTATATAAATGAGTCGTGATAACCCGCGGCACGATATCGCCAGCCAGCCGGGGTCAGGCGGGGTCAAACGTGAGCCAAGGGGTAAGAAATATGAAGGAAAAAAGGGAGAGGGAGAAGTTATGAGAGGCCGTCCAGTGGAGGAAACGAAAGAGAGGGAGAGGGAGAAATGTAGAAAAAAAAGAGGCAGAAGTTATGAGAGGCCAACAGAGAAAACGAGAGAGAGAGAGGGGGAGGGGGGGGAGGGAAGGACAAAGAGAAAAAAGAGAGAGAGACAGAACGTATTGAGAAAGTTCGAGAGGAGAGAGATCATGGTCGCTCAGTTTCCGCTACTGCTTTTTTTTTTTATCCGGCGTCTTGCGAGGGGCGGCGCACGATCCCAACTCGCCAGCGATGCCAGTGATAAAAGCTTGGTTCCGTTGCCTGCTTTTGAGGCAACGGAATTCGCGGGATTACGTCACGGGCGGCGGAAAGTGATCTCACCGGGGAGAGGCCGAGGCGGAGCGGGGATAGAGCGGGTGCCATTATTACAGATAAGGCTATTTTATTTTAACTGTTTTCCCGGTATTTTATTTTTATTTTTTTTATGTTCTTTCCGCTTTTCCTTTGATTTGGCGTTTTGTACGATATTTTGATGGTTTGATTATGTGTAATGTGTGTCTTTTTCTTTCTTTTTCTTTTGTTTTAGGTTCTAGAAAAAGTTTGTTGTTGTATCTGATAGAGGATTTAGTTTTTATTTTGAATGGGTTTATGCCTATTTAAAAATCCAAGTTTAGATATGATCTTGCATTATTTCTAGGTTTTTCTCCATCATTTTCAAATCGAAAATATTTAAAATGCGGTTTTATTTCTTTATTTTTCATTGTTCTCAGAGCTTATGAGTTTACGAGTTTACTAATGCATCGTTTCCATTGCAGGAACGGTTGGAGCGTCTACACAATGAATTCAACGGCCAAGTGTCATCCCTACAAGGGGAACTAACAGAAATTAAGAACATCAAAGAAGACCTCTCACGCTACATCCGGGAGCTTGAGCAAGCAAACGATGACTTGGAAAGAGCTAAAAGGTAATGATGATGGTGATAGGTATCTCCTGCGTTTTCTTTTCGTTTCGTTTTTCTTTTCTTTTTTTCGTTTCTGTCCTCAATACCGTCGTTTTGCCTCTTTGTTTTACCTTTTTTTTTTTGTCCTTTTTGTGTCTTTTTTCCTTCTCTTTTTGATTATTTTAAGATAGCCAGTCACAGAAGGGAAATACCAGTCACTTAGTTAAGGAAGGAGAGGGTCCTGGTAAGATGACTTGGCTTGTTTGAAAGCTATTGTGAATAAGGTTACAGATGGCACAATAATTAGTTTCTGTTCGTTCTTTATAAAGAATATATTTGCTTATTGATGTCATACATACAGTAAGAAAAAAAAATAGTATATTGGTCGAAATTACTTCTTTGGGAGAAATAAATTTTGACGTTTTTCATATTTTCTGAAAATGTAAAGTAGAAAGCAACAAGAAGCAGAGTTTAGGTCTGCTTGTGAATGTCAAATCAGCTGACAAGAACTGATGTATCTGCCTCATTAGAAAGTGAATATCTCTTTTGTTAGATCCTGGCCTATTTTTAATTGTTTATTTTCAGTTTTTATCACAGCTCATGGATTGTTTTATTGACATTTTCGTATGCAAAGAGTAAAAGTAATCCGCTGAAAGTTCATGTGTGATTATTTACTATATTTTGATTTCAATAGATGTGTATGTTGAATGTTAAATATGTCGAATTTCTTTTTTTCTTTCTTTCTTTCTTTTTTTCTTTGTTAATTTTGGATTTTACAAATAAAACTCAATGTTTGAATCTGTGTTCTTTACAGAAATATAAATTCACCTGCTGAATGTAGGTGAAGACTCTCAGGAACTGTAAATGCTTTGTTTCATGCAAGAAATATTCTCATTTGCTGTTATCTCTCGATTCTGCATTTTCATTTCCTTTCGCTTTTTTGTATTTCTGTTTCTTTTCATCCTTCTCAATATTATTTTTTGTTTCTTCTTTGCTTGGGTATTCCTTCTTTCTTTTCCTTTTTTTCTGAATGTTCATACTTCTATATGTATTTCATATTTATTCTCTTCTTCCTTCTCTTGCCTCTTTTCTTCCTCCTCCTTCTCTTCTCTCTTTCCTCCTCCTTCTCTTGTCTCTTTTTCTCCTCCTCCTCCTCCTTCTTTCCTCTTCTCTCTCCTCCTCCTCCTCCTTTCTCTTTCTTTTTCCTCCTCCTCTCTCCTCCTCTTGTCTCTTTGCCTCCTCCTCCTTCTCTCTCTTTCCTCCTCCTCCTCCTCGTCTCTTTGCCTCCTCCTCCTTCTATCTTGTCTCTTTTCCTCCTCCTCCTTCCTCTTGCTCCTCCTCTCTTGTCTCTTCCTCCTCCTCCCTCTTGTCTCTTTGCCTCCTCCTCCTCCTCTGCCTCTTTGTCCTCCTCTTGTCTCTCCTCCTCCTCCTCTCCTTCTCTGCCTTTTTCCTCCTCCTCCTCCTCCTCTTGTCTCTTTGCCTCCTCCTCCTTCTCTCGCCTCTTTTCCTCCTCCTCCTTCTCTCGCCTCTTTTCTTCCTCCTCCTCTTGTCTCTTTGCCTCCTCCTCCTTCTCTTGCCTCTTTTCCTCCTCCTCCTCTTGTCTCTTTGCCGCCTCCTCCTTCTCTCGCCTCTTTTCCTCCTCCTTCTCTTTCCTCTTTTCCTCCTCCTCCTCTTGTCTCTTTGCTTCCTCCTTCTCTTGCCTCTTTTCCTCCTGCTCCTCCTATTTCTTTTGCCCATTTTCCTCCTCTTCATCTACATCTTATTTAATTTCTTCCCTGCTGCTTCTCTCTCTCTTCTTCATCCAGTCTGCTCCTCTGCCTTCTTAATTTTTCTGTCACCCTTTCCTCCTTGTTAGAAATTTTTACTTATTTTACTGTAAAACAACTTTGGTAGGCTGTAGGGAAGCTTATTTTGAAGACAAGAAAGGAATTTTATGTATACATTTCGTGTATGATTTGTGTAGAATTGCCATTAGAAATTATATCAACCATTAGGCTTCTACAATAATCCAGATAGATTTCTAATCTTTTTGAAGTTAGAGATGATCATTTATTTTTTCAAATCATTTATTTCAAAGCAAGTGGGAGAAATCCTAAATTTGTTGTCATTTTCCAGGGCGACAGTGACATCCTTAGAGGACTTCGAGGCTAGGCTTAATTTAGCGATTGAGCGAAATGCCTTCCTGGAGTCTGAGCTTGATGAAAAGGAGGCGTTGAAGGTTATGGTGCAGAGACTGAAGGACGAAGCCAGAGGTGAGAAATACTTGGGATGAATCTGGTGCATGTACCGATATACTCTTAGATTGCACTTTGCAGAGTTCCATTGTTGAATGGATATTTTTCTTTTTTTTTTTTTCTGTAAAGTAAAAGGATGTGGATGACAAAAAATAAAGAGATAATGAACATTATTAGCAGAGGAATAAATGTAGATTATAAAGGATGTTGATAAAGGCATTATAAGGCCAAGAATTCACTACATGATGTAATATAACTTCTCTCATAGTACTATACATCAGAATTGGGATATGCTTAGAATTTAGGAGTCTTTATCCGTGTAGTTGTTGCTGTTCCTTATGAGAAAGTATTCATAGTCTTAATACAAACTAAAATTATGTGTACTCTAAACCCTTACATAGAAAGATAAAGCTGTCGTTTTCCGACAGATCTTCGGCAGGAGCTGAGTGTAAAAAACAAGGACGACGACGAGCCAGATAATGACAGGGCTCTCCAACACCAGCAGAATCACCTGCACCTTCAACCTCCTCCCAAGTTACAGCCTCCTCCTCAGACAGTCTCCGATGAAAATGTTGATTCCAATAAACTTGTTTCCAGCACACAGCTCACAGATTCTGTTCCAAGCACACCTGTAAAAAGTAAGCAGGCAGATACCATTGATATGGCTTTGATGATTTATTCCACAGTTTGTTTTGATTATTTGAGAAGCTGATCAAATGCTGTTAAGTATTTGAGCTGACTTTTAAAGTTGTGCAGATAGGCTAATAAATGCATGTTAGGTTGTTGAACTTCCATTTTTTAAAAGAAGCCAATTTACTTGACATGGCAGATTTACCATTTGTGCTTTACTTTTTTTCCCCTTTTTTCTTTTTTCTTTTTTGTATAGCAGATTTTTTGTGGAAAGTGGTATTTATCTAATGAGCAAAAAAAAATATAACATTGTTTTAAGAAAAAGTAAGCACTGGTAATACATGTAATAAAATATGATTTGAATAGATGTAGAATAAGAGAATAAGAGGTAGTCTGTTATTCAGAAATCATCAGTTTAATTCAGAGACTGACTATATTCCTTATTTCTTATAGGGAGATTACAAAATTCAGTCAAGAAAGTAAAAGAGTTAGCTACTTCATCATTGTTTATAAAAAGAGTAAGGCAATCATTACTGATATTCCTGCAGCCAGTATATTTCCTTTTAAAGCAGTTCTTTATTTATGCATGCAGTGTTTGTCCTTAAAATCAGTGATAAACATGCATCATTGTATACACTAGTGGTAGGCTTCAGTAATGATATAAATTGATGTATTAAAAACTCAGAATATTGGATGGATATATAACTATGATAGTTTTTTTTTATGTTGTAATCAGAAGATAGATATTTTGATACAGTTTTGTTGTTTGATAGAAATATAGGTGTATTAGTATTTCTAAAAGTGTAGCGTGTAATGTATAATAATCTTGATAGATTTTTAAGTAGAAATTTTTCAATTACATGAGTGCATTTTAGGTAATATTAATTTTTTTCAGTGCTGTATTTTGTTGATGTGATTATCAAACAAGGGTGTTGAATCACTAGATAAATTTTGTAAAGAATGTGCACATATATTTGGAAGCAGGCAGTGAACAGAATGCCTTGTTTCGATGTTTATTTACATGTCTCATTGTTTTACTTACAGCACACCCTTTGCACAACATAAACAATGGAAGTGTACCAATGACGCCATCAGCAAGGATATCAGCTCTCAATATTGTGGGAGACCTTTTAAGAAAAGTGGGGGTAAGTTTTTCTAATTTCGCCTTAAGTAAGATCTTTTTAGAGAATAGAATATAAATAATCTCATTAATGGTCTCTTTTTTTTATATATTTTTTATTTATATATTCATTTATTTATTTTCAAAGGCCTTCTGCATGATATTTAACAACTGAATTAGGTTCAAGTGATGAGTTTACAGACAAGTAAATCCGGAGTGCATATTTCACAAAGGGAAATTGTGACTGAAGTAGAGGTGTTGATCGCAGCTGGTGTGCTGCGTCGTACAGTACATGGCCAGTGCTGTAACTTGATATCCTTTCTGCCAGGGTAGCCATAACCCAATGGCGGAGGGGGTCTGGGGACACACTGCGGCAGAATCAAGATTGTCTTGTAAGAAAAGCACAGCTGATAGTCAATATTAAGCTTTAGCATGACACTTCACAAGCCACAAATTTAAGCAGCAGAGGGAATGGTGGGGATACTTTGCATCTTAAAAGAAAAAAAAAAAAATGAGCTGAACACACATTAGCTGGAGAAGAAAAAAAAAAATATATTTATATTTATATTTATCAATAGCAGTTTAGAAAGTTTATGGAAAAACTCAGGCAGTCTTCTAAATTCACACCACTCTCCTTTACGACTAAATCCTCACCTCTGCCAGAGTGAGTTTCCAGATCCAGTGTATTTGAAGCTTTCTTGTACACCTAGCCGCTTCATTTGTAATTTTTTTCTTTGTTCATGGTTAGAACTGGGATTGTTTGTTTTCCTTTTCTGTTTTCTCTTGGTATGTTTTTTGAAGCGAACCAGACGCTATGTTAGATGTTTGTTTGGTTATTTTCGTCAAGCAGAGGAAAATTCATTGCCAGATGTACAAAACGGTTAGCCTAGTTTTATGATTTTGATGATTAAGATTGTGAGAGTTGAAAAAAGAGAACTACATTTTTGTTAAAGTATTTGCTGATTTTGCTGTTACCATAAAGTTGTAATGGAAATCACAAAAAAAAAAAAAAAAAAAATCACAAAGAAAAATATAGATAATTCTGTGTTCGATAAGGTCGATGCCAAGATTTAGAATTCTGACTACTGTAACACCCGTAGTGGATCAGCAGACATTAGGAGGTTTTGTTTTTATTTGTCTTTAACCCACTGATGCTGGGATGGCAAAAATGTACGTCCACTATGATTTTACATGTAGATGGCTCCACAAGTGCTTTGTTCCCACATAGTTAATTCATAGGCCCACCTATCTCGCCTGTTTAACCTTTTCCTTGATTAAGAAAAAGAAAGAATATATGTACATTTTGCTATTAGAATTGTTTATTGCACTATAATATTCATAATGTTAGTAACAATAAGAATATCAATATTTATTGCATTAGTAAAAATTATATTTCCTAAAAACTTGTGAAAGGGGGAAAGTCAGGAGAGGCCATGTTATTCATACTTCGAGAAGGTAGCCAAGCGCTTGCAAATGTGTAAACATGTTTGTTTACACATTTAAACACAAATACACACATTTGTTTATTCATTCATTTGATTATTATTTATTTATATGCATACATATCATGTTTTTATTTTCATTATAGGAAGGGATCTGTTGTTTAAAATTATCTCTTTCTTTCAGTTTCTAATGACAATATTGGGGTATCCTTCTGACCTAGATGAATTTTCAGAAGATCCTGTAAAACTAAGGGTACACAGCTAACCTTTGCTGGTAACAGACCAAGACCCAAAAATGTCCAAGCTTGCATAAGTCCTGTATACATAGTGCAATTAGAATTGAATGGCCTTTATAACTGTGACTAAGGATTTCTCCCTAAATGTCCATTGATTTTTTTTTTTCCTTCTTTTTACATGTTACTAAAAAGTGGCGTAAAGTATGTATTTTAGCATTAACCTAAAAAGAGACAGGCATTACATGGCTAGTTTTAAAGCCATCATTTAGCCAAATCTCGTTTCTTAACAAGTGTGTGAATAGAACTGAAATAGGACCTTGTGTGTGATACCAGCTATGTGAAGGAGTCATGGCATTCAGTTTATGTTTAGTGAAGGATTGCATTTCAGTTTAAGCCTTCATGAATTCGTAAATTTGTTAGGAAGAAATTTTTGTGTGCGAGAAGTCATATTGCTGCAGGATGTTTTATTTGCCATACATTTCATCTTTAGATTGTTTTGTTATAAAAAAAAAGTGGAGGGACATTGATTTGTTAGGTATCATATATTATTTGTTATCACTGTCTTTTTTTTAGGGGGGGGGGAGTATATGCTTTTGGGCTGGGAAATTTGGGCATGTATAACAAAGCAAATGGATATATATATATGTGTGTGTATGTGAGTGTGAGAGAGTGTGTGTGCGTGTGCATGCATGCGCGTGTGCGTGTTTGAGAGAGTGGCAGTGTGTGTGTGTGCGTGTGCATGTGCATGTGCGTGTTTGAGAGAGTGACAGAGTGTGTGTGTGTGTGTGTGTGTGTGACAGTGTGTGTGTGTGTGTGTGCGTGTGCGTGTGTGCGTGTGCGTGTGCATGTGCGTGTTTGAGAGAGTGACAGAGTGTGTGTGTGTGTGTGTGTGTGTGCGAGAGAGTGACAGTGTGTGTGTGTGTGTGTGTGTGTGTGTGTGTGTGTGTGTGTGTGTGTGTGTGTGTGTGTGTGTGTGTGTACGTGCGTGTGTGCATGGGTGCGTGAGAGAGTGACAGTGTCTGTTTGTGTTTTATATATATATATATATATATATATATATATATATATATATATATATATATATATATATATATATATATATATATATATGTATACACATATTCATATTTTTTAGTCATTGAGAAATATACAAGGGTATTTTCCCCAAAAGTTCTATGAATGTTGTTGCTATTTCTATTATTATTATTATTATACTGACAGAAAGATGCTAATGAGAGATGAAATGTTTGCCATCATGTAGGGATTTATTCTGTGAAATGGCCTGTGTTTTTCATTATTATTGTATAAAGGTGTGAATTTTTGTTTGCTGAAAATGTGGTTGTTTTTAATTTATGTGTCTTGACATCCTTGATGGTTTTCGTCCCAATGTTACGTTGATTTAACACTGCATTCAATAGAGGATAAAGGCCTAAGCTGAATTTGAGGAGTGTCGTTTGTGTTTGATTCAAGTGTATTTCTACTTATAACTCTTCCTGCTGTTGAAGTCCAGGTTTTTTGAGGGGGGGGGGGGAGCAGTGTGGATTAGGGCATGTTGGAGTGACTGATAATTTGTGAATGCCCGAGTAAGTGAGAGTGAGTGTGAGTGTGAGTATGAATGTGTGTTTGCATGTATATTTGTAACCCTGGTTGATTGAGGAAGGGGGGAATATGTGACCACTTTTTATTTATGATTTTTGTGAAAATGGGAAAGATGATATCATCTTTGCTTTGGTCAGTAGAAAATAGATAATATATCAATAAAGGCAGTTTTATTGTGTTTGTGTTTGGCAGTAGAGCATCTCATAAGTTGAATAATATGATACTGCATAGACGTAAATGACCTGACTACAAAAGAAAGAAGTTCAGTTGCAGAAGTATTCTCTAATTCTCAGTGTAAAATAGCTTCTTCCATTCAAACCATCCTGTATCCTTTATGACTTGATGGATTTGAAGACTAACCAGTGCATTTGGCAGTGAACTTTATTAACCTCTAACTTCTAACACTTTTTTCTCATATGATTTCAAGATGATTGTCCAAATTTTAGTAATAGTAGAGGGAAATTTACCAGAAAATTTTTTCACCATCAGTTTGTAACTATTGTATGTGTGCCGTATTTTGTAATCAAAAATTATTTTGGCTAAACAAAATTCTTAATTCCTTGTCATGACCTCAGAACTAATGAATTACCACTCTTTTCTTGATTGGTTATAAACTGTAAATATAGAATAACTACCATGGGTAACATTAACAAGGCTGGTAATGGTATCTCAGGCACTGGAGTCGCGTCTAGCCTCGTGTCGTACACTCGTGAAGGACAACCAGCGCCCCCTCAGCCTGCCTCCACCCGGCAACCACTCTGCCAGGTAACACACTAACGCCCAAACCATATACTGGCAGCAACTGTCAGCAAGCACAGAATGGGGCACTTGTTCTTGCATGAAAAAGTATCCAAGCATCGTTACATTTAGTCAGTCTGCTGAGCACATCAGTCAAAGGGTTGTTGGTCACGGGTTCTTAAGAGACGTATGACGTCACAACAGGATGACTAGGACCCCCCAGATCTGAGGAATTATGATGTCATACCTTTGACTGATTGATGAGGCAGCATTGGTAAAGTTTAGTCTCTCACTATAAAAAGGCACCATCTACCTAACTTTTAAAGATGATAAGTAAATGATATGCATTAGAAATAAATGCATATTAAACATAATACTGCCAAACAGATTAGCACAGTTCTTGATTGTCTTTCCCCTAGGAGGCGAAAGTCCACACAGTTTACTGTAAGTTTACCATAATTGCTGGAGAATGAAGAGTATCCATTCTTTGTGGGCACTTGGATGATTGCATGGGCCTAACATCTTACCTGCTGGTTGTGGACTGTTTCCCCTTCATCATATGACTATTCTTAGATAGATAGGAAATTCAGTGAATAGATTCTGTTAATGCAACCAAATTTTCCTGTCAATATTTTGCTTAAGCTAGTGAAGACTGCCTACAGCTTGACTGAAAAGATGAACCTTGCATGACAAAAGACTTCCTGTTTGTGTCAGATTATACGTGTATTTCTTTCCCCTTTTTTGTTTTGTCTTTGTTTTTGTTCTGGTTTTATTTTTGCATTTCAGATTATTAGGCTTCTTATATGTATTGGCTTTTTACACTTAGTTGCACAGTGTGGTTGCATTTCTACCTTTGCCTTCACTTTTTGTTTTTGCTTCCATGTGTCTAATCATGTATTTGTGCTTAAAGACGTAAGGTATTATTATTTAATGATTATGTATACTTGACCATGCAAGAATTTTTATAGTATGCCCAAAGCAGTTAGTCATTAAACATGTAATAGGTGTTTGTATCCTAGAGTTGTACCCTATATATCCCATTTAATCAGTATTATGAAGTATATTTTGCATTGCTGTATGATCCTCTTATTTTGTTTTATTATTATGACTGAGCCTTAAGCGGCCTAACCTCGTTAATTCAGACATAGCATTTGCCATATTAACTTTGCTTTGACCAGGTATTACAGAACAAGCCTAATTTTTTGTATTAATAATTTATCAGAAAGATTATATTGTATAGTAGTAGCAACATTAAGCAGGTAGAATTAACGAGTTTTGACTGTATGGCTTCCAATTTTATTTTTGAAGGACCCTGACATACCAAAATGCAGTGTGTATTACAAGCAGTGAGTCAATTTGAGATTCCAAAGTTTGATTAAATCGCTTAGTAAGCATAATACTTATTTATTGGTTTAAATTTTTTCCACAAACACTGGTAGAGACTCAGTTCCTGTCCACTGCTTGTAATCATCATGGATAGTGGCTGGTAAAGGGTTGAATGCTTTTGTTTATGTTTCTTTCCTTTTTTGACAGATGAAAATCCAGCAGATTAACAGGGACTTGAATAGGGTGAACTCAGTATTCAAAGCAGGTAAATGTTTGATCAGCTACTTTCTACTGACTCCACATCTGATGCAAGGGAGAAGAAAAAGTTGTGCAGCTGTTTGTTTTCAGCTGATAACCTAGAGGATTGCATTACTAACCAGTTTGAGACACAGCACGAATCACTTACAGTAATGCTAAGCCTAACACGGTTTATATTTTGAACATGTAACATATTTTTGTTTTAACGTGAACATGTGTTGGATGTCACCTGTAAATAATGTCAGATGTCTCTTTACTGAAAGCCTTTAGACTTTCCATAATGGAGGAGGAGGTATTTACTTCTTCATAAGACAACAAAGGAAGAAAACTTCATCTTATGTCCTAGAACTAAACTGTTAGAGTTAAATGTCATAATACTCCTTGACTTCTCTCTTAATTCCCTTGATGCATGCACATCAGACAAAAAATACATTTTATCACTTTTGATTTATTAGATAGTGGATTTTTTTTTAACCTCTTTTCACCTTTTCCTTTGAGAAACGTATTCTTAGATAATGCATCTATACTCTGACTTTTACAATAGTTTATTCAGTTTTGGGTCAAACTCCTTCCACTGTACTCTATGTGATCTTAACAGTGAATCTGTGTTTAATTTTTCCACCTAGAATTTTCTCTTGTATAAAGAAGGGATGTATGGCAATATCTATCATTTTGATTTATCACTAGAAAGTCCTAAAATGTGGAATGTGACTGCATTTTCTCACTCTAGACTTACTTAAATCTGTTTAATGTTCTTGGTACTTCCTTCTTGTTCACTTCCTACACCCTTGTGCACATAATCTTTCATTCATTTCTTTCTCTACTTCAGCTCTCCTCACTCTCTGTTCTTTAGCATGGTCTTGTTCTTCCTTCTCTTTCTTAATCTTGTCTTTTCTTCTTTGCTTCCTCCATGTCCTCTATCTTATTTTCTTTTTTTTCTCTCTTTTCCTCCTCCTTCTTCTTCTTCTTCTTCTTCTTCTTCTCCTCCTCCTCCTCCTTTCCCTCCTCCTCTCCTTCCATCCTCCTCCCTCCTCCTCCTCCTTCCTCCTCCTCCTCCTCCTTTCCATTCTCCTCCTCCTCCTCCTTTCCTCCTCCTCCTCCTCTCTTAGCATCCTCCTCCTCTTTCTTTCCACCCTCCTCCTCCTCCTCCTTTCCATCCTCAACATCCTTCACTCTTCCTGTTCTTTGTCCCTTTTTTATTTTATATTTAGTCACACAAACTGATTCAGCCTTTCTTTTCCCACGTGCATCTATCTACATACTGTTATCACATTTTTCCAGTCAGGTAATCAGTCTTTCCAATAGTCTTTTATTGTCACAAGATCTATTTCCATTAGGATCTTATTCATAAAACTAAAATAGCTTGATTAAAGGAATGACTAATTTTTTGGCCATTTTAATTGGCATTGTGGTAAAGTGTCCCGAATTAAAGTTTAAAGTCTTATTATTGACCTCTTGCTATACAGAATGGAAACCAGTTGCATAAGAATGACATGTATATTCTCTCCAGCTTATATATTGAATGAAACCTCAGTGCACCTCATAATTTCATTATGTGACCTTTTTGGGTGTATTTGGGACATAAGTTTTAGCTTTTGTTGTGTTATATAAGCCAGAGCATTACCTCAAGTACTCTTTGCTAGAGCTTTACTTTTTAGATCATTAGTTTGTTTCCTTTTCTTTCTTTTCTTTGCTTTCTGAATATTCCCACTGACTTTTATTAATTCTCTACTTTCTCTCAACAGAAAGAACCAGCTGACATGCGGCTCCCCCACCATCCCCACCACTGTGATTCCTGCGTAGAGCTACCATACACCAAAATTGATTCCCAGACAGACTCAAGAGGGAGAGTAGCTGAACGCCTCAAGGATAGACCATGCATTCCAAAACAGTGCTCGATAACGTTAAGAAAAAGCCAGATAACGAATGATATAAATGGCATTGCTTTTACACACAGAACTCCTGAATTGGCCAGAAAACCATGTGAATCTAGTTTAAGAAGAGGCATTTCAGAATACATGCCTCGCAGACTACTCGGACGGCAGCAAAGTCAATGCAGTCATGTCTGTGGCAATAGTTACCCTCTCTATGTAACAAAAGATGAATATTTTTTCTAAAAAGGAATCCCAAAAGACTTGTCCCTTTTAAGTTAAATTCACTTCTATGCTGCAGGAGTAGGAGGCTCTCCAGGATGTCCTTGTATATGTAAATAGTTAGTTTAATTGATTGAAGAGATTATTGATGCATCCGTTTTAGCAAAGATCCTTTTTTTGTTGTGGCATAACAAGTGGTAAGGTAATTATGTTTTGAAATACTGCTGTGTGCACCTCCTAGGTAAGCTTTTTTTTATTTCAAGTAATTTGCTTTTAGTTCATCAGGTGCTCCATTTTCCTGCAATCTGTGGAAAGTTATTAAATTTAGCAAGCAGATGCCTAAATATCCTGCCTGTTATCTGCAATGTGATACTGATCAAAAGAGCCAAAAGGAGGCAGCAAAGCACATAGCAGCAGCACAGTGTTAGTGATGGACCTCACAGTTAGTCACATCATTGTGATCAAATCAAGTGCCCAAGAATCCCATATTGTGACACGGAAAAGCTGATAAATGCACACCGCCTTTATTTATGACAGTCATCAGTGTTATGGTAGTGAAATGCATTGCAGGCTTTATGATCTTGTGTATATGTGTATACCATGGGAATCTTCATGGAAATATCAGCCAAACATTGATGCGTCTTTCTTAAGCATAATTTTATTGATAGTGAAAAGTTTCTTTGCTGTAACTGAGATGTTAAAAGTAGATATTTCAATTTGATTGTACACTGTACTTGTCATTCACAGTGAATACTCTCGAGTTGTGCTTAAGAAATGGTGTCGCAGCCTCATCTTCTAGTTTCCTCTGTCAAATTCCAATTTTGTACATAATGGTAACTCTTCAGTTCCTTGATATCTCTTGTTACATATTGATATAGCTGTACCATAGCTTCTTGGTAGATTGGACAATATCACCTATGTAATTTATGAAAGGTTCCTCCTGAAGCAGAGGTTAATGGTACAATGTTTCAGATGCCCATGTTTTAAGTGGCAGATAAGTAGGCTAATAATCAAGTCTTGAAATTAAATTATGGATTGTGTAAGATCTTTTTTTTATGATTGGTTAAATAGATTCAGTATTGTACTGTAATCACCACTTCAGAACCAAACACAAAAAACCTGTGTAACTAGCCTAAGACTCGGTGATAAAAGAAAAGATTATCAACAGCTGGGCATATTGTCCCAGATGACTTTAGTTACCGGGAGTGTCAGGTTTTATCTTGCAATGACGTCACATCTCCGAATATTCAATCAGCAAAATATTTTCTCCACGTGCTTGGATAAACCTTTTGTTTCATTTGATATTTTTTATTTTTTCTATATAGGTTTACTATAGACAGTTATCAAATTAGTCTCAAGATTAGAAGAAGGAAAACAAATCTGACACTGAGAATCTTTTCCATTATTGACTTTGAAAGATATTGGCAATGGACAGGATACAATGTATTCCTTTCCTTTTAAAGAACAAGTGATGAATATTTACATTTTATATTGCATATTTTGTTTATTAGATTGGTCTCTATTCTCATTAAAAATTAGCAGAAACACATGTGTCTTCTTATTATCCAGAAACCTTAATTTTTATCCTTTCTCCATGCAGTGTGAGGAATACGTAGGGATATCACATTGGAATTGACATAATGCTGCAGCAGGATGATGGCTTGTATAGGGGCTCGATGGATATCAAAATGAAGTTGGGGAAATGCCTGGGAAAATCATTTGATAAAAGTAGACAGTTTTGAGTAACCATATAATTTTCATCCAATTTTATTTGCGTCGGTACAACTACCTCTAATTTAATTAATAACAAGTATCCAAAGGGGTAAGAGGATTTAAAATTATATCTTTTTATGGGCATTATCTACACAGTTATATATGTATGCATGCACCAACTATAGAGATTTGGTCATATTACCAACTATTCACTGTTAAAAGAATTGAGTATAGATTGCCACTATTCAAACTGAAATTGCATTATTTTTTTACGGAAAATTATAAAAGCATTTTAAAAGACTCAATATACATGTGTTGAAAAGTAAAAACTAGGTTGTATGTCAGGTGTTCATGATACAGTCATTAAGTATATTTATATGTGACTTGTAATTAATACTAGGTATTTTCTTGGATGAAAGATTGCATTTCTGTAGCAAAAGGGTTTAATAGTGTACTGTGTCGCATCATTACAATGTACAGAAAAAAATAAAATCTATGAAAGCATTTTTTCATAAAGTTCATAAATAAGTCTAGTTTCTTAAGGCACGTAATATCATAAGCATTTACAAATAGTGCAAATGATTTATCGGAATTAGCAGACAAAAATCAAATTAAAATACATGTACTTCACCAGTATTATGCAGAAAAAAACATGAATTCTTAAATAGACCAAATGTAATTGGTGTTATAATAAGATTTGTCTGCTAAAAAAGTTAAAGGGGCACAATTTGCTTATCAGTAAAGAAATAATAATGATTTGAATGGATAGGATAAATTTATTCTTGACCTAAAAAGGAAAATCTGCTGCTTAAGATTACGATGAAAAGAAGTGAATCATAGGTAATTATATTTACCAAAGATGTACCACTATATTATACAGTTAAAGTCTTAAAAAGCATGCATGGTATAGGGAAATCACTACAACTATTGAAAAGTCATTAGAGAAAATAATACAGAAACATCTTTTATGAGCTTTTAAAGTATTAAACATTTAAAACAGAGTAATGATGAGGCTTGCACTGTGGTTCAGCCCTAAAGTATTTGAAATATGTGGTTAGTTTGCTGTGAAAGAGAGCACCAAAAACATCAGTGTCACAGCTATCGTCATCAACTCTAATGGAACTTGCACAGTTCTGATTATTGTGACATCATGCATCTGTTTATTAATGAGGTTAATTAAGTAATTGATCAATCAACGAATCAGTAACATCAATGGGAGTAAGCAATTGATATCGTACATGAAATGTCAAATGAACAGTTTCCATGTTTCCTCAGATCCAAAAGGTTCTTGCTATTAAAGTATCAGTAGGTTATTGCAAGTAGTAATTCTTTACCATGATATGGAAACCATTAAGCAATGTAATCGAAGAATGCAATGGACGTCTTTGATGTTATATGCAGGTAACAAATAGAAAAAAAATGGAAACCAAACAAATAAAGAAGTTATTATTCAGTCCTTTCATCTGTTGTAATCTCGAGCAGTGTTGTCCGAACATTTTTGCCAATGTTACCGTTTATTACCCTCTTGTACTGCTACGTACCCCCCCCACACCCCACCCCGTCCATCATGGCTAAACAAACTGTTTTATTTAGGATAATGCAAATAATATACTAATTATGAAAAGACTGCATTGCAGAAGTGTTGGTCAATAAATTCGAATTTAATACACAAATAAAAAAGATTCATAGAACATGTGGTGTTACTGTTTGAGAGAGAGAGAGAGAGAGAGTGTGTGTGTGTGTGTGTGTGTGTGTGTTGTGTGTGTGTGTGTGTGTGTGTGTGTGTGTGTGTGTGTGTGTGTGTGTGTGTGTGTGTGTGTGTGTGTGTGTGTGTGTTCCTTGTTTGTTCACTTACCATTATGATCTATGTTGCGTACCTCTAGGGGTATGCGGACCCCACTTTGGACAAGACTGATCTAGAGAACAGAAAATCCTGTTGACTCGCAGATGGTCGAGGAAGTTCCTTGGAGTGTTCTAGAACTAAGGACAGATTTGTTTAGTCGACCACAAAAAAAATTGCTGATAATATTTTTGACACCCATATGCTTACCAAACAACCCCCTCCCCCAACACACACACACAAACACACACACACAAGTAAACAGAGGCACACACATTACTTGCATGCGAATTCAGATTGAAATATTCCTAATTTCACTGCACCGCACATTATTTAACACCATTCAGAATGTACAGCTACACAGAAAGATGTCTTTAAAAACTTTGAGTATGTGTGGCTTATCTGAATATTACAAGGCATATTCCATTCCTTACATCAATAAAATCAGCATAAATTCCGTAATGACAATTCGGGACTTGAATCAGAACGAGACAAATTCGAAACCCAAAATACCAACTCTTCCTTAACATAAGGTTTTGTTCGTTATTGAATGCTTTGATACCGATAGTTTTCTGTGTAGCTGTACATATATAGTGTGCATATATATAAATACACATACACACACTACCAAGCCCTGAGAAAGCTGAACTCCAAGCCCTCTTCACAGGTGACTGCAGTTTGCTTAGTGGGTGGCCAGATCGTCTCAGATACCGTTGCGGTGCGGGAGCGTTGAGCTTAGTATTTTGAGCAGTTGCGCCAGGTTGGTCCACCAACAGTTAACTTGGATGCGGGCAGTGCCGAGATTCCGTTGTCGGACCCAACCATCAGTGAGGATCCACACTCCCTAACTGAAGTTAGGGAGGCGATCTCCAAGCTGAAGAGTGGTACAGCAGCGGGTGACTCCGGCATCCCAACTGAACCGTTAAAGGCTGGTGGCGAACCTATGGCGCTGGTTGCATACTGTCCTGGCTGCCATCGAGTTGTCCGGTACCGTTCCCCTGACCTGTTGAGGGGTGTGATCATCCCTCTCTAGAAGGGGAAGGGGGGTCGATGGGACTGTAGCAATCACTGCTCAGTATACCAGGCAAGGATCTCGCCCACTTCCTTCTGAGACGTATCAGAGACCACCTACTGAGGCATCAGAGGCCGGAGCAATCTGGATTGACTCCTGGTAAGTGAGTTCGAGCGTGGGCTGCTTGCAGCCTTCATCGACCTCAAGAAGGCGTTCGATACGTTGCAACGGGAATCACTCTGGGAGATCCTGAGATTAAGAGGAATTCCAACAAGGATTATTGAATAACAAGCCTGTATACTGGTACTGAAAGTCCTGTAAAGTGCGGAGGGGGTGGGGGCGTCGAGCTTCTTTCCTGTTAGTTCTGGAGTGAGGCAAGGCTATGTCCTTGTCCAACACTTTTAAACAATGTCCTTGTCCAACACTTTTAAACACGCACGGACAGGATAGTGGGCTGAACTACTGTTCAAAGCCATTGTGGAGCAACTCTGGGTAACATCAATGTTACTGACCTAGACTTTGCTGATGATGTTGCTATTCCATCTGAGTCTTTGGAAACCTTGGTGGTGGCTCTGGAAGCATTTAGCAGTGAAGCGAACCAATGGGTCTAGAGGTTTCCTGGACCAAGACCACGATCCAGGACTTTGGGGCTTACTAGGAAAACTTGTTCGGTCGGTACGTGCTTGCGGAGAGGACATTGAAGTCAGAGAGAGCTTTACATGCCTTGGTAGTGTAGTTCATAATTCAGGGATGTCAGAACGGGAAGACAGAAGATGGATTGACATGGCAGCAGGGGTCATGAACTCTCTCGACAAGAGTATTTGGAGAAACTGGTACCTATGCAGAAGGACCAAGCTACACATTTTCAAGGCCCTGATAATGCTTGTTTTATTATACGGTAGTGCAGCCTGGACATTATCCTGTGCCTTGGAGTCTCGTCTTGATGGCTTTTGACATGGGTCCTTGCGCCGGATCATGGGGTACAGTTAGCGGGACCATGTGTCCAACCAACGGTTGCACTGTGAGACTAGTACAGGACCTGTTACTTACACAGTCTGTGATCGTATATGTAATTAAATATGGCCACCTGGATTGCTCCCCACAGGATGATCCTGTCCACCAGGTTGTCTCTGTACGAGACAACCCTGGGTGGAGGAGGCCTGTGGGAGGACTTAGGAAGTCATGGCTTGGACAAATCGATCAAACCTATTGTGAGGAGCTCGAGATGGACCAAGTCCCTGCCTGGTGGCTTGTTATGAAGGACCCTCATAGATGGAAAAGGAAGGGTGGATGCGGCTATGCACCCCCGTCAACGTTAGCTCCCCAATAATGATGATGATATATGTATATATATATCATATATATATATATGTATATATATATGTATACACAAACACACACACACACACACACAGAGATATATATATATATATATATATATATATATAATATATATATATATATATATATTATATATATATATATATATATATATATATATATATATATATATATATATATATACGCATATATGTGTGTGTACATTATATATATATATGTCAAAATCATTGATTTGACATTTAAATTTTGGATACTTTCGATGAGCTTCTAGAAACATAGAACGTTGGCAGGGCATGCCACATCTATTGAACTTTATTTTGAATATAGAAAAATCCACACACACCCCAGTCCAGTTATCATTGTTTATTATCAGTGCCTACTCCAGTTAATACGGGTTGTTCCTTGGAGGGGAGATTATGTTCAGAATATGGTATTGGGGATGGGAAGTGTTATAGTAATCCTTGAGTCAAGGTTAACACAAGATGAGTTTCTTTTTGTTTACACTGGAAAGGATAAATAATGATTTTTGTTTCCTCGGTATAATATGACTCAGGAGTGACATCCATGTAATTACCTTTTTTTTTTTTTGTAGAAATAAATATCTTAAACTGGAATATTCTTTATATAGACCATATTTAATT